ACACAGCCCCAGCTGCATTTATCACTGAGCAGGCATCCCTTCACTCGCGGCTGTGCTACAGTAGTGCAGGGAAAAAACCAGCACGGGCATTTGTTCCTGAGCACACTTATTCCACCAAATCCCATCAAACTGTGTGAGGGAGAGGTTCCCCACACCTGTGGTGTGAGCTAGGCTGCCAGTGGGAGAGCCCGAGTCCCTCCAACACCTCAGATGGAAAATGCTCAAGCCCTGAATATTTATGAAAGTGCTGAGATTTTATGTCATTTTTGTAATCTAAGCTCTTGCAGAGGCACAGTGAGAAACTGCTTGTTCTCAGCAGTGATGGACCTGTAACACCAGACCCGCTGCTCAGCCTTGCCTGGCTTAAATAGCAACAAAAAATAACTGCTAAATTAAAGCCTCTGATTTAGCTCCGATTTCCTATACTCCCATCCAGAACAGTAAATATCTGGTATTTCAAGGTGAATTAAATGTGTTGATAAGTGCTGTGAATCTGTGCTCTTATGGTCCTTTTCCTTAGAACTGGATTTTAAATGCTGCATAAAAATGGGAGGAAATGCCTACGCGGTTCAGGTGGCAAAAATAAACAGGTGTGGTGCTGGCTTGTGCCGTGCGGGAGGAATTCCTCACGAGAGGGGGTCAGGCCTTGGCAGGGAGGGCTGGAGCGCCCATCCCTGGAGGACGGGGGGCACAGGGGGGACGCGGTGATCCCGCAGGTGCTTTCCAGCCTCGCTGATCCATCTGCGGAGCGTGTCCTGCTCTGTCCCCACGCCTGGCACAGCCCCTGCTCCTGCCTGCCAGCGCTCATTAGCGCTGTCTCTACTTGATTAGTTTCCCAGCTCTCACACATGCAGTTACTTATGCTTTGGGTTTATTTTGCATAAATTATCTGTGTATCTGTGTCACAGTGGAAGTGTCCCCACTGCATGCTGGTGGCCAGGTCAGCTCATGGAAAAATAACTTACATGTGTTGTTATTTGTATACTACTGTACATTAACATAAATATTGTTACACTGGCGGTATTATAAAAAAAGGGGATACAGTTCAGACCATTTGCCTGTAAATAAACTTTCCCTCCTTAAAATATATCTGGGTAGAAGAAATTATTTTTTTTTAGCAATACATAATTTGGTAAAAGAACTTCCACAAAAATAGGAGTGAAACATTTTATAAACATTTTATTAAAGTCATATGTAAGAAAAATGTTAAATATTTTCTAGGCACATCAGCTGTGACTGTGCTGGGCTTAGATACCTGTCAAAGGTAATATCTACAATTTATTGGAGACAAAGCAATTGAAATGCTTAGCAGAAGATAAATGATCTTTTTAGCTGGAGTATAGAGTCCATAATTACAGTGGGAAACAGATTAGGAAAAATAGCATTCCATCATTTCTCCTGCTTGACATTTGCAGAAGTTCAGGGTATTTATTTAATATTTAAACAGCCCATCTCAGGAATGTTTTCAATGTTTGATTTGGTTGAGCACTTCCCTGACACCCTTCATCATTCACCCAGATTATTTTTGCAGGCATACATACAATATTTTAAGATTCTGTCTTTTTATCTGCTGTGTGTTTGTACCCGGACAGTTTGTTAAACTGCTAATGAGTCCCACGGGGCAGTATGTTAGAATTAAACAGACATTGATACCTGCTAGAAATAAATTTACAAAGCCCAGAGAAAAAGTCTCTCTCTCGCTCTGTACAAACATTCTGAAGCTAAGCTGCCACATTATGGGCTGGGTTGCCTTCTCCCTGCTCTGGGGTGGGCAAGCTGGCTCTGCAGGGCTGCTGGAGCTCCGTGCCAGCTTTGGCATCCCCAGCTCAGGAGGGACCTGGGGCTGATGGGGAGAGCCCAGAGGAAGCCATGGAGCTGCTGCAGGGCTGGAGCCCCTCTGGAGCCAGGCTGGGACACCTGGGGGTGAGAAGGATCCAGGGAGAGCTCAGAGGCCTGGCAGTGTCTGAAGGAATTTAGGAAATGGGGAGAGTGACTTTTTACATTGGCAGGTAGTGAAAGGACAAGGGGGAATGGTTTTAAACTAAAGAGGAGAGATTTACATTGGAGACTAGGGACAAATCCCTCCCTGTGAGGGTGGGCAGGCCCTGGCACGGGTGCCCAGATTTGCTGTGGCTGTCCCTGGATCCCTGGCAGTGCCCAGGCCAGGCTGGACACTGGGGCTGGAGCTCCTGGCACAGGGGAAGGTGTCCCTGCCGTGGCTTTAAGGTCCTTCCCAAGCCAAACCTGTCTGGGATTCTGTGAACTGTAGGGAAGGAAAATCAAATGCCTCTCAAGGTTTTTTTGAGAAAAACACTTAACTGTTGGTAGGTTAGGTTATACTGTCCAGGAGATGGCACCATACATTCAGTCTTTCTTTAAAAAACCAACCCAACCCCAACCACAGTAAATCTTCAAAAAGTATGGAGGAGAAGCTAGCAGAAGTCCAATGTATTATGATTACAGTGTTGTGTACAACTTTCTATTTTTGATATAATCACCAAATATTTGATAACTATTACTCCTAGTGTAAATCACTCTTTGAAAAATGTCTGGTGAGAAGCAGAGTGGAGGAGTTCAGTGGAAAGACTCCAGTGGAGTGTTCGGTGAGCGGGAGAAGGTGTCTGCTTCTGACTGTGGTGTGATTTTTGGGCCTGAGACACGAAAGAGCAAGACAGGGGGATGGGGTTGGTTTGTTCTGACAGGAACATGAGGTCCTGTAACCCAGGCTTTACACTAAAAGTGATGATACTTTTAGTAGGATTGATGAGATTGGACCCAAGTTCCCTGATA